TTGAGCCCCATTGCAGTTAGGGTAAGCAAATTTTCCCCCCCCCCCCCCTGCCCTTCACCTTGGGATACAACCATTTGTTGCCAGTTTTACCCCTCCCCTTGTCTTTCCTATATAAACCCCGGTTTTTCCCCTGTTCAGGGTGCTTCTGTTCCTGGCTCCCTTCTCAGAGGGCTCCGCTCTTAATAAAGGCTGACACTCTGTGGAATGCCATACAGAGCTCCAGTCTTCTCTCCGCATCACCTGGGAAAGCAAATGAAGAGCCAGCCAACAAAGGGTGTGCTGCATTCCCCTAGAGGGCTGACCCTTGAGCCACATTGCACTTAGGGGAAGCAAATTTTACCCCCAGAGGCCTTTGCAGTTTTATATTGATTCATTGTTATCCATTGGTTCTTTCTCCCCCCCAAACCCCCCCCCTTCTCAGAGGGCTCCGCTCTTAATAAAGGCTGACACTCTGTGGAATGCCATACAGAGCTCCAGTCTTCTCTCCGCATCACCTGGGAAAGAAGCCAAGCTGGGAATCGCCAGCCGGGAAAGGACATGCTTGTACCCTGAGCCATCCTTCTAAGGATGCTTCTTCAGGAAGGTTGTGGCTCCCTTACCACCCCTGCCGCTGCAGCAGACTGGGATTGTACAAACTGGGATCATATGGAGTGGGATTGTACAGATTGGGATGACGTGGACTGGGACCATATGGACCGGGATGGCTACAGGAGAACAATGTGAACTGAGGTGGTTTCCCCACCCCGACCCCGCAGGAGTCTGTCCCACTCCCTCCCAGTCCCATGGGTCTCTCCCAGTCCCTCCCCATCCTGCCCAGGGGCACAGCCAAAACTCCCCAGAGCAAACATGAAGATCCCAGAGCAATCCCGTTGCTGATCTCATTTTCAATCCTGGTGCCAATGCCAGAGCGATTCCAGCACTAATGCCAGCCTCAGTTTCTGTCTCAGTCCTGGAGCACTCCGGTGCTGATTCTGGTCCTGGTATCAATATCAGTCCTGGAGTGGTGCTGGTCCCAGTCTGTCCTGGAGTGGTGCCATTCTCAGTCCCAGCGCTGGTGCAGCTTTCAGTGCCGGTCTCGGTCTCAGTCTTGCAGTGGTCCCATTGCTAGTGATAGTGCTGCTACTGCTGGGGGCCCGGAGTGCTCCCAGCGCCAATCTCCGTCTTGGTCCTAGAGCACTGCCAGTCTCAGTGCTGGTTCTGATGGCGGTCTTGGTCTCAGTCCCAGAGGGTTCTTCGTCCTGATTCTGGTCCCGGTCCAGGAGCACGATCCTGGTCCCAGTCTCGATCCTGATCCCAATCCTGGAGCAGTCCTGAAGCACTCCTGAGGCCAGTCCCAGCTCCAAAGCATTCCAGGTGCTGGTTCCAGTGTCAGTCTTGGTCTTAGTCCCACTTCCAGTTCTGGTCCCAGTCTCCGTTTCAGTCCCAGTCTTGGAGCATTGGTGGTCTCAGTTCTGGTGTCAGTCTTCCTGCTGGTGCCAGTTCTGCTGCTGGTTTCGGTCTCAGTTGCAGTCCCGGAGATTTTAGGTCCCTTTGGGTGATTTTAGACCAAACTGGGCAGGTTTAGGGTGGGTTTTAGATCCCTTGTGAGTGATTTCAAGCCTTTTAGTGTCGAATTCATGTCCCTTTGGCTGATTTTAGTCCATATCTGGTGTGTTTTAGACTGGATTTTAGATCCCTTTGGATGATGTTAGGCCCATATGGGTGGATTTTATGCCTCTTTTGGGTAATTTTAAGTAAAACCAAGCCATTTTAGGATGTTTTTAGGTGCTTTTGTGTACATTTCAGACCAGTCTGGATGATTTTAGGTGTCTTGGTGATTTTATGCAAAACCAGGTGGGTTTTAGGGTGGATTTTAGGCCCATTTGGGTGATTTTAGACAAAACCAGGTACATTTAAGATGGATTTTACACCCATTTTAAAGATTTAAGGGTGCTTTTCAGCCATTTTGTGTGGGCTGCAAACCACTTAGGGGGATTTTAGGCCCATCTGGCTGATTTTGGGCCAAAAGAGGTGGATTTAGGCTGCATATGACACCCTTTTGGATGATTTAGGACAAACTCAGCCCTTTTAGGACCATGTGGCCACTTGAGCCCACCCCTTCCCCTCTCAGCTCCCACCCTTTCCTTGACCCCACCCCTTCCCTTAACAGTTCCCGCCCTTTCATTGACCTTGCCCTCACAGTTTGGAGTTCTGGGCCGGGGGAGGAGGAGGAGGGAGGGAGGAAGAGGCGGAGCGGCAGCAGGAAGAAGCAGGAGAAGGGGGGAACCGCGTGGCCCTGGCACTTCCTGAACTCACCACAGCTCTGGGACCATCGCCCACCATCCCGCAGGTGTTGGGGAGAGGGAGCTTGGCCCAAATAACCCGGGGGGGTCCCTGGGTTTGGGGTTTTTTGGGGGGATGTTTGGAGCTTTCAGGCTTCAAAGCCAAGCCGCAGATGCCCCTCGGGGGGACATCGGGGTCTCCCCGGGAGGTGTTTTTGGGGGGTCCCGCTGTGGGTGGCGGCAGAGCCCCAGGCGGGGATGCAGGTTTTAGATTCCTCAGTAGCTCCACTGACCAAACTGGATCTACTGATACTCCATACTCTTCCCCCTCATGGCCCGCAGCTTCTCAATCTGATTCATCTACCAGTAGCCGTAAAGTTTGGACATGAGGTGAAGTTGCAGTAGATCTGATCAATTATTGTAGACAATATGGACCTGTAAAAACCCCAGAGGAGAAATCAGAAAAAAACAAAATGTGTTTGGTTTATTGGGACTTCTCACACGGAAATAGAGAAGTAAAACAGATCTCTAACCGCCACTGTTGGTAGTTGTTGGGAATTAAAAAGGGGGTCCTCAAAGAGGTGATGGATGGTTTGCTTCTTGATAAATTGCAGCAAATAATAAATAGTTAGCACTATGGAACCGAATCCATTGGCTCAACCCACTGCACGCTTCCCTTGTCAGGAACCAACACACACCTCCTCCAACACTCTAACTCCCCCCAAGACTCTCCCACAAAACATAGACAAGGAGCCAAAATTAACCCCATCCCAGCTTCTCTCTCAAAATCTAGGCAGCAGAACCCTCCCCCAGGCTCCCTCTCAGAACACTGGCAGTGAGCCAAAATTAACCCTCTCGCAGCTCCTCTCTCAGAATCCAAGTAGCACAACAGTCCCCCAGCCTCTCCTTCAGAGCACAGACAGTGAACCAAAACCAACAAGGTTTTCGGAAAACTAATATCTCTGCCACTTACAGGTGGGCGAAGAGGCGGAGGTTGCGTTTATTTAAGAATGCTCACTAAAAATAAATCTGGAGATATATTAATCACAGCTATCACAGGCCCCAAAAGGATACTAGTAACCTTCCTAATTGACACTGGGGCTCATATCTCTGCACTAAGAAAAAAGACGCCCAGAAGTGTGGAATTGTTCCAACTAAAAGACAATGCTGTGTTCTTAATGCTCTGGGAACTACAGAATCCATGAATGTGGCCCTAGTCAAACTGATGCTCCCTGGAGATGAAAATTAATTAGTTGTCAAAATGGTTATCGGGGACATTCCAAATAATTTATTAGGGTGGATGTCCTTGCTGGGAGGCAGTGGGAAGACTCTGAGGGATTTCTGTGGTCTTTTGGCACTCAGCCACTTAACATTAGGCTGCTTCAAACCGCACCCTCTCTACCGTATAGTAAAAGAAGTAATGTAAAACAATGCCCTCTACCTTCTGGTACCAGAGAGGGTATCAAACCAGTTATACAGGACTTGTGAAACCAAGGGGTAATAATTCACACACATTCTCTTAATTCGCCAGTATGGCCAGTCCAAAAAGCCAATGGAAAGTGGAGGTTAACAGTGGATTTTTGCAGGCTTAATGCCAACACAGACCGTCTCACCGCAGCAGTCCCAAACAGCTGAATTAATAACATCAATTCAGGAAAAAGCTCACTCAATCATGGCAACTATAGATGTCAAAGACATGTTCTTTATGATACCTATACAGCCAGAAGATATGGACCGTTTTGCCTTCACATGGGAAGGACAACAATATACATTTACCACGCTTCCCCAAGGCTACAAACACTCCCCCACTTTGGCCCACTGTGCTTTAGCCCAGGAATTAGAAAAAATACCCAAACCTGATACTGTAGCTGTTTATCAATACATTAATGACATTCTGGTGGGGGGGAGGAAATAGAGGTAGTGGGGGAACATCAGCAAAAAATAATCTCTCACTTAGAAAGCCTTGATTTGCAGATTCCCCCAGAAAAAATTCAGAAGCCTTCTGCAAGAAGTGAAGTTTTTGGGAATTTGGTGGAAAGGAGGTATGACGTATTCCACCCAATACCCTAACTTCTCCAGATCAGATTAAAATCCCTAAATCCAGGAAAGATCTCCAGCAAGCTCTAGGACTATTAGTGTTCTGGAGGAAACACATCCCAGACTTCTCAATAATTGCCAGGCTGCTTTATGACTTGCTGAGGAAAGGGGTGAAAAGGAATTGGACTCCTTCTCAGGAAGAAGCATTGCAATTACTGATTTTTGAGGCAACAGCTCACCAAGCACTAGGCCCTATCCATCCCACAGGGAATTTGGTGGAAAGGAGGTATGACGTATTCCACCCAATACCCTAACTTCTCCAGATCAGATTAAAATCCCTAAATCCAGGAAAGATCTCCAGCAAGCTCTAGGACTATTAGTGTTCTGGAGGAAACACATCCCAGACTTCTCAATAATTGCCAGGCTGCTTTATGACTTGCTGAGGAAAGGGGTGAAAAGGAATTGGACTCCTTCTCAGGAAGAAGCATTGCAATTACTGATTTTTGAGGCAACAGCTCACCAAGCACTAGGCCCTATCCATCCCACAGATCCCATTCCAGGTGGAATGGGGGTTTGCCTCCTCAGGGCTATCAGTACACATCTGGCAGCAGGGTCCTGAGGGTCCGACGAGGCCTGTTGGTTTTTATTCCTGTGGTTTCAAAGATGCTGAGATAAGGTACACTATCTGAGAAAAGGGGTTGTTTGTGGTTAGCTTAGCTCTCATAGAAGTGGAAAAAATTGCACGGCAACAGCCTATTATGTTAAGAGGCCCTTTTAAAGTTATCAAAATTGTCACTAATGGGACCCCCCCACCTGACAGGGTGGCCCAGAGGGCCTCAGTCAGAAAATGGTACGCTCAGATAGAACACTACTGTAATACCTTCTCAATAACAGAAGGTGCTGCTAAAAATCTAGCAGTCCAAGACACTGAGAGCCTGGCTAGCAAGCAAGATAACCCTGCCTCTGTAATCAAAGTTGCCCCTCCTTTCTACCCTGAACTAGCAGCAAGTTCTTGGTTCACAGATGCCTCTGCGACATGGGACAGGAGGGGGAGGTATGGAAATAATACAACTGCTGTCTTACACATTTCATTCTGGTGAAAGAATTATTACCGAAGGGGAAGGCAGCGCTCACGTTGGGGAACTCATCGCTGTTCAGAGTGTTTTCTGACGTGAGGCACAGAACATTTCTCTTGTCTGCATTTATACTGACTCTTCTGCAGTATACAAAGGTTGTACTGAGTGTCTTCCTTTCTGGCAGCAAAATGATTGGGAAGTTAACAGAATTCCAGTGTGGTAAAAGGAGAAGTGGCAGGAAATTTTAGGTATTGCAAGTCAAGGAAATTTTGCTGTTGGTTGGGTAGCTTCTCACCAAAGAGATGGAAATCCAGCAGGAAAGTGGAATAGAGCTGATGAACTAGCAAGGCTCAGCCCCCTGAAAAAGGAACTAATTACTGAGAACTGGGATCGACTATTAGAATGGCTGCAGGTAAAAAGACAGCACACAGGTGTGAAAGATTTGGACAAGGAAGCTCATGCTTGGGGCTGGCCCGTTACCAGGGAAATGTGTAAAACATGCATATCAGCCTGCGAGCAATGTCGCAGGCAACTGGAGAGACATCCTTTAGAAGATGACC